TTGAGAAAATAAAATCTCTAACTGGCTGAAGTGTCATTTTTTCATAGAACTATGAAAGCCGGCCAGGCAGCCTCTATCTTTACGATAAAAACATTACGTCATACCCAGACGCTGTCTACTCAGGACGCCACAAAGATACACATGTGAGTTCGAAGGGATTGCAGATAAAGTTAGCGCTTTACTATGGGTTACTATGGGTTACTAGAGGACTGTATTCTGCTCCTATAAGGCTCCACTCTACTGCTGCCTACCTCGTGAATTATTTTACGGCCAACCTCACCACGGAATTATTACGAATATCATTTCGAAGAAGAAACACCTCCTCGGGCTACTCACGCCTGAAGACAAGATTCTTCTCGACAAATTCTTCGACATTATCATCAAACATGTTCCGAACTCCCCAAATGGCAGGGATCTGTCTAGATTCAAGGCGGCTTTAAGCTCCTGATCCGGACGTACCCTCGGAGAGGGTTACGTCGATTGTAAATATCTCTTTTCATTCCTACCATTATTATTACCTTATAACTCCCTTTGAGTGTAAAGATTGACGAGATATCAATAAAGTTGTTTAATTGTCAAATTGTCACGGAAGCACAAGCAAGCACACTGACATTCTGAGACATTTTATCTTCCCAATCTTACAATTTATACATTTGAATGACACATGGTCAATGACCAAACAGAATCATACGTGTCTATAATAGTTTCGAATTTTGATAACAGATGGCGCGCTATTACATCATATTTATAGAACGTCGTTTGACAAGTTATACCGCAAATGTTTCTTTTGAACGAAAAATCGTAATTTATTTTAAGGAGAAATATCTATTATTTCTATCCTTAGGAATGAAGTATGAAAGGATGAATTGTGAAGAAGTAATGATAAACGGAAAATTAAAAGTGTCCAGGGATGGGCAGATGCCATGTCCACTAGACTACCCTGGACATATTTTTCCGTTTATCATTACACTTCACAATTCATCCTTTCATACTTCATCCCTAAGTTTAGAAATAATCGTTATTTCTCCTTAAAATAAAATAAAATTACAATTTTTTCATTCAAAACTAACATTTGCGGTAAAATTTTCAAACGTCTTTCTACAATCATAAGCCGCATTATATATTGTATTATTTATTTATGAAAACATCATATATGTTACATAGCTTAGTTATTGATAAGGTACAATTTGGATTATAGATTATAAAACAAGGTAATAAGACCAAATCCAATGATAAGGTACAATTTGGATTATAGATTATAAACACAAGGTAATAAGACCAAATCCAATGATAAGGCACAATTTGGATTTTAGATTATAAAACAAGGTAATAAGACCAAATCCAATGATAAGGTACAATTTGGATTATAGATTATAAACACAAGGTAATAAGACCAAATCCAATGATAAGGCACAATTTGGATTTTAGATTATAAAACAAGGTAATAAGACCAAATCCAATGATAAGGTACAATTTGGATTATAGATTATAAACACAAGGTAATAAGACACCAAATCCAATGATAAGGCACAATTTGGATTATAGATTATAAACACAAGGTAATAAGACCAAATCCAATGATAAGGTACAATTTGGATTATAGATTATAAAACAAGGTAATAAGACCAGATCCAAATAGATTCAGTACTTTTGTCTGAAGATGGTAACAACGCTGTTACCGAAAGGTCACACATTATTTATTTATTTGGATTTGGTCTTATTACCTTGTTTTATAGCTTAATTATTTAATATTCTCTAGATATATCTGAGTAGGGTTGGATTAATAATAAACAATAAATATTCAAATATATATATACATTTTAATTCTCAATACTATACGTAGGTATAAACAGGAGGAATACAATAAGTGGGATTTGTCTTTAACTTCCCCGTTAGAAGAATCCTTAGCGCCGTGAATGTCACTCTTGTGTTCCGCTCCACACCATACAGCTTGGACTACACCGTCTTGTAGGCCGCTCCGATGTCAGTCTCTCCTGGCACCGTCTTGTAGGATCATTCACACGTCTGGAGACAAGTCGCCACGTCTTCTCTTCTTTATAGCTTCACTGTCGTTCTTCTATAATGATGTTTTACACATATAAATTTACTGGCAATGCGCTTCTTTTAAAGGGCAATTAAATTTAATTTACTAATATATATTTGTTATGAAAACATATTTTGCGGAAGAGCTTTGCACGATGAAATACCTTGAAATTATGTGTATGTTCCTCTACAGACCTATAAGCTTATGTCCATAGTTCACTAAACACCCCTAAGCTGCCTTCCATAGAAAATACAGGGTATATTCCAAACCAATCCAATACAATAGTAGAGCGGTCTAGAGATTAATTAGGCGAAACCGCTGAGAGGGTTCTCTACTGATGAGCCAAGCCCTCTCATTCAATAACTCATATCATTGCAGTAAGGTCTGTAGAGATAATATTTGATGATATTTAAAAGAAGCGCATTGCCAGTAAATTTATATGTGTAAAATTTTAACGATAGATGGCAATTAAATTTAATTTACTAATAATTATGTTTGTTGCAACGTTTCAACATTTATAAACCATGCTTCTCTGGAGCGCAGAATGTCAACTTTACATGGATACGACTGAAGAATATTAAAAAAAACCAATCTATGTAACATATATGATGATTTCATGAATATAGTGTTGCACCAAGTTGCAGCTTTGCAGGGTCGTCGACCTTGGTTTCTTCCTTCTTGGTGTTATACACCGAGCACCATACTCAAAGCAAATAAATAAAAGTAAATTAAAGTTATTGTGTTTATTTATTCTTCCTCGTAGGTCGTGATCCGCAGTCTAGGCCCTCTCTCGCTCCATTATTATTATTTATTTATTTAGGTAACCCGGATTCCTGGAGCATACTAAAGTCGCCAACTATCCGGGTTGGTCTTTAGACTTCACGTCTAATGGTGGCAGCAGACATCCAGTTTATCAGGTGTCGCCAGGCTGACTTGTGCTTGGGGATGTTCTGCAGGTCTTCAGGGACAAATATATTTATTCCTAGGAGGGTGGCTGTTTGGGACCTATGAAGGTGGTAGGCGGGACATCTGAAGAGAAGGTGGTCGACAGTTTGGTCTTCCTCGTGGCAGTGTGGGCAGGTAGGATCGTCTCTAGATAATTTGCAGCATCGGCTTTGACAAAGCCGTGACCTGTGAGGATTGTGGAGGTGATGCCATAAAATTTTATTTTGGGCAGGATCGCCATGAAAGTGTTTGGGAATACAGCTCTTCTCCTGAGGTTTCTTGTGGAGAGATCTGTGACATATAATTCCTTCCAGAGTTGGAGTGAATACTGTAGTCTCTCGCTCCAATAACTAATCAAGATATAGGTACAATAACAATATTACAAAAGGAATGAAACTATAAAAAGGAATGATGATAATCTGAATATTCTGTTTTAAATGAATATTAAATATCATAGAATATTTTGAATATATGTAAGGCGCATTAAAATAGATGCAACAATAGTAATACAATATATAATACAATATAATGTGGCTTATGATTGCAGAACGACGTTTAACAATTTTACCGCAAATGTTTCTTTTGAACGAAAAATCGTAATTTATTTTAAGGGGAAATAACGATTATTTCTATCCTTAGGGATGAAGTATGAAAGGATGAATTGTGAAGAGTAATGATGAATGGAAAAATAAAAGTATCCCGGGATGGGAATCGAACCTATAGTGTTCCGCTTACCGGGAAGATGCCATGTCCACTAGACTACCCTGGATATATTTTCCGTTTATCATTTCACTTCACAATTCATCCTTTCATACTTCATCCCTATGGTTAGTAATAATCGTTATTTCTCCTTAAATTACGATTTTTCGTCCAAAAGAAACATTTGCGGTAAAATTTGTCAAACGACGTTCTATAAATACTATTTTATAATACATTAGCACGCCATCTGTTATCAAAATACGAAACTATTATAGACACGTATGATTCTTTTTGAAATTAAACAATTTCTACTGTCCTTACTGTAATGGAAAATTTAATGGGAGGGCCTGGCTCATCAGTGGTGAACCCTCCCAGCGGTTTGGAATGGGTATTTTAGATTAACTATGGACATAAGCTTTGAGAGAGAGGACAGCAGAATCAAATATAAATATAATTATATAATTTAAGAGATATAATTGTTTATTTTTAAAAATAATCATAGGTGTTTATAATAGTTTCGATTTTTCATAAATATAGTAGTTTACCTAAATACCATTTTTAAGATTCCACCCTTCAGTGTAACATATATAAACAGAATGATCTATTTGTAAAAAGAAACATTCGTGTCTTAATGTCTTCATATGTTATATATAGATGACGTGTTATTGCTTTGTATTAATTTATACCTAACTTGTCCTTATTGTTTACGGAAGAGCATTGCTCAATGCAAATATTTATATGTAATTCCACTGTCCTAAAAGCTTATGTCCATAGTTTACTTAAATACCATTTCTAAGATTCTACCCTTCAGTGTAGCATATATAAACAGAATGATCCAATACAGTAGAACTCTAAAGAAGCGGTCTGGTAGATTAAAAATTGGTGAAACAGCTGGGAGGGTTCATCACTGATGAGCCAAGCCCATTATTATTTTATCATTACAGTAAGAACAGTAGAAGTTGTTTTATTTCAAATATAATCATACACGTCTATAATAGTTTCGAATTTTGATAACAGATGGCACGCTAATGCATCATATATTTTATTGATTTAGGAATTATCAAATCGGTCAAATTTGGCGAATTTTACTAATATTATTATCCCTAAGTCACGTGTTAGGCCACGATAATCATGATGGGTAGTTAGCGACTGCTTTTACTGTAAGTACACCACATGTCTGCATATGTGAAGAGCAGTTCGACTTTACACTCACAAATGTACAAGAGCCCCGTTTGGTTACTTGCACTCGCTGGTGGGGTTGGACTTTTGCAGAATCGAGGGCTATTGGAGCTTTTTTTAATTAGAAAAAAAGTGCCATATGCGGGATTCGATCCCGGGTCTTAGCGGTTGAGAACCAACGGTTTAAACCATCCTTCCACCGACAATTCTACTAATATGGTCTCTCTGTCTGTCTGTCTGTCTGTTTGTCTCTAGGCCAGAATGCCACGACGATTGCCCCTGACATTGACCGATGTCGACAAGCCTATGGAAACAATTCCATAGTTGTATTTGCACGAAATGTAAGTATGTTTACTTATAAATCTTTTGTAAGAAATTTTTAGCCCAAAATATCTTCATAATTGTATACTTTTTATATTACAACGATAAAAATACACTCATGGACAAAACTTGAGTATTACGATGCACTAGCGCGCCTTCTGTTATGAAAATTCGAAACTATTTTAGACGCTTAAGATTCTTTTTGAAATTAAACAATTTCTACTGTCCTTACTGCAATGGAAAAATTAATGGGAGAGCCCCTGGCTCATCAGTGGTGAACACTCTCGCCGTTTAATGGTAGATTAATCTGGCGAAACCGCTGGGAGGGTTCACCACTGATGAGCAAGGTTTTCCCATTAATTTTTCCATTGCAGTAAGGGCAGTAGAAATTGTTTAATTTCAAAAAGAATCTTACGCGTCTGAAATAGTTTCGAATTTTCATAATTTAAGTATGTAAATAGGGATTCAGACAATTCTATATACCACTCTGAAATAGATTTATTGCACACTAAGCAGAATTTAGGGAAATGAAAAGTCTTTGATGTCGTTTATATTTATTGTGGGAGACAGAGGCAATTTGGTTCACACTTGATAATCTATTGTGTCTTCATTGTCCCAATCCCGATATACATGCTAAAAGGTACAACCTTCTCAAGTTCTGTCCATGAGTGTATATTGGTTATCTCGTGTGTCTTCAATAAAGGTCAGTGTAATATCTTTCAGAGTTATTGTCTCAATCCCGATATACATGCTAAAAGGTACAACTTCCTTAAGTGTTGTCCATGAGTGTATATTGGTTATCTCGTGTGTCTTCAATAAAGGTCACTGTAATATCTTTCAGAGTTATTGTCTCAATCCCGATATACATGCTAAAAGGTACAACTTCTTTAAGTTCTGTCCATGAGTGTATATTGGTTATCTTGTGTGTCTTCAATAAAGGTCACTGTAATATCTTTCAGAGTTATTGTCTCAATCCCGATATACATGCTAAAAGGTACAACTTCCTTATGTTTTGTTCATGAGTGTATATTGGTTATCTCGTGTGTCTTCAATAAAGGTCACTGTAATATCTTTCAGAGTTATTGTCTCAATCCCGATATACATGCTGAAAGGTACAACTTCCTTAAGTGTTGTCCATGAGTGTATATTGGTTATCTGGTGTGTCTTCAATAAAGGTCACTGTAATATCTTTCAGAGTTATTGTCTCAATCCCGATATACATGCTAAAAGGTACAACTTCCTTAAGTGTTGTCCATGAGTGTATATTGGTTATCTGGTGTGTCTTCAATAAAGGTCACTGTAATATCTTTCAGAGTTATTGTCTCAATCCCGATATACATGCTAAAAGGTACAACTTCTTTAAGTTCTGTCCATGAGTGTATATTGGTTATCTCGTGTGTCTTCAATAAAGGTCACTGTAATATCTTTCAGAGTTATTGTCTCCAATCCCGATATACATGCTGTTAAGGTTTCTCCTCCTTAACAGAAAAAAGGCCGTTATTCAGAGGACTGTATAAGTCTTTATCTACCCAAGAGGACACCCCAATGGTGAATCCTACCTTGAGCCAAAGAGAGAAAGAGGCACGACCAATACTATTCACACTCACTTTTATTTTCAACCACACTATATATACACCAGAATACACACACGTGACCAGTCACTCCTGGTCAAATACAAACATCCACAGAGTAATACCAAAATAATAAAAATAAACTCCAACATTCCTCCCTGAGTTGATGGGTCACATCAAGTTCCGGAGGGGCCACCGGAAGCAGCACCAGCTTCACCAAGGGTCCTCGGAGCACTCCAAGTCTATGCTGGATTCTTCTCTCTTCATGGAAGGTATTTTGAAGATATGGCTTTAGGGCTCTTTGTTTGAGCTCTTACCTCGTGAAGAATCAGGATCCAATGCTGAGGCATCGTCTGCAGGCCCAGAGGTATCTTCTGAAGGCCTAGGTGTATCGTCTGAAGGCCCAGAGGTATCGTCTTAAGGCTTAAAGCAATCATAGGACTCCGAAATCTTCCCTAGAGATATCAAACCACTCAATATAATATTCCTATAATCCACCGGATTCGCAATCCTTTCCAGTTTAGCACTTCTACCAGACTTTTCTGGAAACTTGTCTCCTAAATTAAGATCCCTCGCTGGAGTAGGCACTTGCCCCTTTGGAGAACTGGCGAGCATAAAATATTGGAGCTATTACAGTTCCAGAAACAGCCTCCTTCGATACAAGTTGCACCCCATTGTTTGGAAGATATTTGCCAATTGAACTTTTTTCTATTGTTTCTCTCTTCACATAGGTGATCTGGACAGTACAACCCCGCTTAGAAAGCGTTTTACTTTCTCCTACCTTTGCATCATCATATTCAACTATTTCCCTTTCTTCCGGATTTTGAGGTACGGGGCACTTAATTAAAATCATCTACAATCATTTCCTGCCCCAAAACCATCAGTTATCCATTTTTTTCTTCCAAAGAAATCTGAGGTAGTCCCAATCATTCTCCTTAATGGCCATCAACCGGAAATATCTTCTCATGTCGGCCAAAACTCCGAATTTATTTTCCCGAAGTTTTATCCCTATCTCAGGGATTCCTCTCAATAGACTGGGTCTCCTCCTCAAATACCGCCTCAAGGCGAGTCCGCCGTTTCCTCGACAGGAAGCGTCGTCAAACACTGGCCGTATAGGCGTCGTTTTGGACCCACACTCAAATACAGGGCGATCGGAAAAATAGCATCCCTTTACTTTAAATTCCACATCTCCAGTTTGTCTTGCTTCCACCTCTGAATCAGTGCCTTGTTCTGCATATAGCAGCTTCACTTCTTCAGTGTTCTTTGAATCCATTCCTTGTTCCACATCCAGCCCTTTCTCTTCATCTGATTCAACGGATCCCTTCTCAACTTCAGCCCTATGACTTTCGTCAACTTCTACAACATACCTTTTCTCAACTTGAACCCTTTTACTTTCCTCAGCAAAACATCATTTCTCAACTTGAGCCTTTTCACTTTCTTCAACGGCAATCTGCGTGGATGTCTCTTCTACTATTTGCTCGGTGATACCACAATCCCAGCATCTTCCTTAATAGAAGCTGGATCTAATCCTTTCATCAAGGTAACTCCTACAACCCTTGGCTTCTCACTTATCCTGAATTCTAAACTGCTTCCATCGCAGATCTTCAAATCCAATTTGGGTAATCGGCAAACTCTTGTTCCATTTAGATTTCCCCTAGGATTGAGATATTCTTTTACTTTCTTCTCTATTAGCAGAAAGTTCCTCTCATACTGCTTGACCAAATCCTGCTCTTTCTCCAATTCCTGCATAGTGGTGTTCTCATCGTCCAGCACTAACTCTTCAATTTGGGAATTCGCGCTCCTTAGCCGGCCCACATCAATCTCCAGCAATTTAAACTCGACCAAGATAGAGTCCCGAGAAGGACACTCTTTTTTAAATTAAGTCTCGATTTCTTTTATACCTTTTGTCACCAATGATCGCAGCAGCGTTCTTAATTTCTTATTTTTATCCATCTTAAATTTCAATTAACAAATTTAAATAAAGACTAGTTTACATATCTTCTCTAAATTTCGACAATCTACTTTGTTTAATCTTAATATTTCTTAAACTTTGCCTTCTGAAGCTTTATCCTTTCAACTTCTTCTTATTCAAACTTCAACTTCTCGATCTTTATCCTATTTAGCCTCAACCTCTTTGGCTGCAACTTCTTTAGTTTTAGTCCTTTTGGCTTTAATTCTTTGGCCTTTTCTTTAGTGATTCTCTTTTAGAATCCGGCTCGAGGGACCAAATGTTAAGGTTTCTCCTCCTTAACAGAAACAAGGCCGTTATTCAGAGGACTGTATAAGTCTTTATCTACCCAAGAGGACACCCCAATGGTGAATCCTACCTTGAGCCAAAGAGAGAAAGAGGCACGACCAATACTATTCACACTCACTTTTATTTTCAACCACACTATATATACACCAGAATACACACACGTGACCAGTCACTCCTGGTCAAATACAAACATCCACAGAGTAATACCAAAATAATAAAAATAAACTCCAACACATGCTAAAAGGTACAACTTCTTTAAGTTCTGTCCATGAGTGTATATTGGTTATCTCGTGTGTCTTCAATAAAGGTCACTGTAATATCTTTCAGAGTTATTGTCTCCAATCCCGATATACATGCTAAAAGGTACAACTTCCTTAAGTGTTGTCCATGAGTGTATATTGGTTATCTCGTGTGTCTTCAATAAAGGTCACTGTAATATCTTTCAGAGTTATTGTCTCCAATCCCGATATACATGCTAAAAGGTACAACTTCCTTAAGTGTTGTCCATGAGTGTATATTGGTTATCTCGTGTGTCTTCAATAAAGGTCACTGTAATATCTTTCAGAGTTATTGTCTCCAATCCCGATATACATGCTAAAAGGTACAACTTCCTTAAGTGTTGTCCATGAGTGTATATTGGTTATCTGGTGTGTCTTCAATAAAGGTCACTGTAATATCTTTCAGAGTTATTGTCTCCAATCCCGATATACATGCTAAAAGGTACAACTTCCTTAAGTGTTGTCCATGAGTGTATATTGGTTATCTGGTGTGTCTTCAATAAAGGTCACTGTAATATCTTTCAGAGTTATTGTCTCAATCCCGATATACATGCTAAAAGGTACAACTTCCTTAAGTGTTGTCCATGAGTGTATATTGGTTATCTCGTGTGTCTTCAATAAAGGTCACTGTAATATCTTTCAGAGTTATTGTCTCCAATCCCGATATACATGCTATAAGGTACAACTTCCTTTAGTGTTGTCCATGAGTGTATATTGGTTATCTCGTGTGTCTTCAATAAAGGTCACTGTAATATCTTTCAGAGTTATTGTCTCCAATCCCGATATACATGCTA